AATTCATTCTAGGGCTTTAACATGAGCTATTAGAAGTGCATTGAATAAACAGGTAGGCTACCATCTCACAGACCAGTAAGACCCATGGCTGCATCTTGATCTTTTCTCCCGAGTCTGATTCTTTCATTTGCCCCCCCCCCTCTGTCTACAGGGCAGTGGTTAAACGTTGACAGTTCAAACTCCCTAGGTTGTCTGTGGAAGAAAGGGCAGGCAGGCTGTTCCTATAAAGAGCTCAGCCTTAGAGAGCTCTGGTGGCCTAGTGGCAAGAAGCTGCACAGCAATCCCAGAGGTTCATGGTTTGAATCCACCAGATGGTCTGCTGGAGAAGGAGAGACAATCTAATCTCCTCCTGTACCAGTCAGATCCGATTTGACGGTAGGGAGGGAGGGAGGGAGGGAGGAAGGAAGGGAGGGAGGGAAAGGAAGAAATAGATTAAAGAGCTCAGCCCTGAGAACCTGTGGGGGTTTCTGTTCTATCTGAAGGGCTCACTGTAAGAATTGATGCCAGAAATAGAAATACCATTTGACCCAGCAATTTCACTAGTGGGAATTTATCCTAAAGAAACCATAACCACCACCCAAGCAGATATACGCCCAGCACTTTTTATCGCGGCTTTGTTCACAATAGCAAGGAGTTGGAAACAATCCAAGTGCCCATCGACAAAAGAACGGATAGAGAAGCTCTGGTATATTCACACAATGGAATACTACGCTATGTTGAAAAACAAGAAACTCATGAAATATTATGCACAATCGGTGACCCTGGAGGACATTATTCTGAGTGGAATATCTCAGTCACAAAAGGACAAATATTGCATAGGGCCACTGTTGTAAAATGAGACTGACATCAGGGTTGACAGAAGACAGAAAAGAAGAAGGGGAATGATGTATACTGCATTGAAACAGATGAGGGAGAGAACTGTTTAAAAGGATAAATGATTGGGTATTACTGTCATGACAGGAGTCCAGAACGAAGGCTGCACAGTGGAGTGGACTTGGGGGGGAGGGATTGCATAACGATGAAAGAGTTTTTGAATTGATGGGGAGGAGCTGGTCAAGGAGAAAAGTGTAACAATAAATGACTGGAAACCCTAAGTCTCTGTAAACTTTCATTAAAATTAATTAAAAAGAAAAGAATTGATGCAAGGAGGTTGGGTTTGGTTTTAATATTATTATTTGAAAACATTTATAAGACCAATTTTCATCTAATCCACAAACCACAATTTTGACAGTCCCTTTGAATAGTGTAATCCCTCAATTCCTGGACTCCACTGTGAGGGGGCAGGCAGAGGCCAGGGGTCTGCTAACACGCGCAGGACAGTCCCCATGGTAAAGGGTGTAAAAAAGTGTGAGGTTGGGAACAGTGTGAGGTTGGGAACCACATCGTAGAGGAAAGCGTGTTTGTGATTGGACACGTGTTCCTAATTGCTCCCATCAGGATCCTAGAATGAACTGTACATCCGTTTCTACAATGGTTAGGGGCCCAGCTGTGAAGACAGACTAAGAGTAAAGGGCTGGCGATCTTATGAAAATCAGTCAGTGACACTCCTGCAGGCCCACAGGGCACAATTCCCAACCAACTATGCAGATGGTGAAAGTATTTCTCTATACTGTGGAGGGGTCTCCACGGTTCAGAGACCAAATTCACCACAGTCAAGTCACTCAGACACCTGGTCCTGTTGCTTCAAGCCAGCCGGGAGCCCACCTCCACGGGCCCAGCTCACAAGAGAAGCCAGAAGCCCACCTCTACTCTGTCCCAGCTCAGGGAATTCAGGACCCCACCTCTACCATCCGAGGTCAGAGCCAACAGGAGCTCACCTCCACCACCCGCCCAGCTCACAGGAGAAGCCAGAAGCCTACCTCTACTCTGTCCCAGCTCAGAGAATCCAGGACGCCACCTCTCATCCCAGGTCAGGGCAAACAGAAGCTCACCTCCACCATTGCAGCTTGCAGGAGAAGCCAGGAACCCACCTCCACTGTCCCAGCTCAAAGGAGAAGCAACGTGGCCACTGCTCACAGATTCCTCGTGCTGGGCACACAGCTCATTACACAGAGTCACCACACAGGCCATTGATATCGCCTCAGAGGCCCTGCCCAGCAGTGTCTCACCCAGAGGGGTATCGTTCCTGTTGACAGAATGCCTAGGAGATACTAGTGCACCCATGTGCACAACAAGCAACCCGGGCATCCCTTCACCCTGTTTGTCCCTCAGTAGCACGCCAGGGAACAGAAAGCAAAGTTAAGGTTGTTAGGGGGATACTGGAGGGGGAGTCCCTGGTTAAAGACCTAGGACTGCTCTGGAGAGACAGTTCTTGGCCTGCCTGGACTTGTGGTCCTTCATACCACTTTCCTTATCATCTCATAAGATTGACCCCCCCCATCTCCCACACAAACATGAAGCACACACATGCCCTCAAGTGTGCCTATGCATGAGAGTACTCGTACATGAAAACACACTTACACAGATACACATGTATATGATGCACACACATGACCACATGTGTACAATACACATACAAGGGTACCTATGCACACATGCATACATATGGCCAGATGTCCACAGATGCACGTACATGTACATGATGCATTGGAGGGTACTCACGCACACATGTACACAGATGAAGGTGCTCAGACACAGACACATATGACCACATGCACACACCTGTGCACTTATATACATACATGAGTGCACACACATGTATACGTATGCACTATGCACACATCCACACAAGTGCATGCATATATCCACACAGGCACATGTGTGCCTCCTATGGTGTCAAGGCATGGATTTGAACCACCAACCCTCCAGATAGTACTCAAAGGCAAACTTCTTGCAGGGACCCTTGCTACCAAGATGAGGTAGGTCAAGGCCAAAGGCAGAGATGGAGGGGAAAGCTGCAGCTGGGTGCAAACAGGTATTGAGAGGTTCTGTGGGGTCTTGGCCCTGCTTTCCGCCGGAGGGGTGGACAGGGAGGTGAGCTGTTCCTGAGGCCCCGAGGTCCCCCCCCCCACCTTGTGCTGGGAACCCTTGGGCCTTGGCAGTTCCGGGTGACTGGAGGTGCACAAGAGACGCAGCCATACATCACCTGGTCTCGCCAAACAGAAGTGACAGCCTGTCTTGAAAAGAAGCCCATTTCTGGAACACTCGGAGAGAACTGCTTATTTTCCTCCTTGGGGTCAGCCAAGCAGAAGCAAAGCGAGCCTCAGGGAATTTTCACAACAGAGTGAGCAGAGCTACACGCACCGGGAGGTTCACCCCGAGGTCACTGTGGGGACAAAAGCCACATAAACAGCACAGCTTTTCCATCCTCGTCACTCTGAACAGTGAGCTGGGCCTTCGCCAGGGTGGAACAGAACAAGGGAACAGAGGCAGGAGGAAAGGGTGAGGGGACAGGCGGGGTGGGGGCGGGGTGCCTGCATCACAGAGAACCTTTGACTCCAATTCATAGCACCCGAGTATTTCAGAGAAGAACTGCGCCCCACCGGGTTTGCACTCTGGCAGGGTGACAGGTTAAGTGTCAGGCTGCAAACCAAAAGATTAGTGGCTCACGTCCACCTGCAACCCTGCAGAAGCGAGAGGAGGCAGACTGTCCCCATTAGGATTTACAACCTCAACCTCGGAAAGCCAATGGGGGGGTCAACAGAAGTCACGGTTGACTCTGTTACAAGGGAGTTTACGTACTTGTTTTAAATTGTTTGGAAGTTGCCAGGTCTTTCTTCTGAGGCACATCTGGGAGGACTCGAACCTCCAGCCTTTAGGTTCACAGCTGGACAAGTTCATCAGATCTGCCACGGAACTGGCAAGGAAACTGGGAGAAAGAGACCTCGCTGTTCACGGTCAAGTGAGCTGGAGTTACATCAATCTTATCAAGAGAACAAGAGGAGGGAGGTGTTACTTTTTCTCTTTCATATTTATGTTAATATGGTAACAGGAGACGAACAATGGACTCTCACTTTAGCCCCACAAATCACTGTCAGTCCCTCTCCAAGTCATAACTTTTAAAAAGGAGGAAGCATTTCTGGGACTCTGGACAGGCACCTGCAGGTCTGTGGCGTGTTTAAAAGAGAGGAGACATGGTTGTGGAAAATGCACTGGGTGGAGGGCTGGCAGAAGGGGTGAAGACCCACTTCAGTGCCACCCTCTGCCTGGCCCTTGGGGTCCCCTGCCCAGGCCCTCCGTGTCCCCTGCCTGCCCCTGACCCCCACCCCTGTGTCCCTGCTCATCCCACCATCCCCTGTCTGCTCCCCCCTCCCCATCCCCTGCTATTCCCTGTGACTCCTTGAAGGCCTTTCCCCAGCCTACCCTGCTCTTCTCAGTTCCCTGGTAAACCCTCCTCATCTGTGAGCGCAGCTTTCCATGAGGCGTTTATGGTGAGGACTTTCCTCAGGACCCAGAATCCAAAGGAATTGCTTAGTGGTCTCTGAGGGGCGCTGGTGGATTAAGCACTGGGCTGTGAGCGGAAAGGTGAGCAGGTGGTTCAAATCCACCCGCTGCTCCTCGGGAGATGCCACAGTCTGCTTCTGAGAAGATGCCCACCTCGGGAGCCCACGGCACTGCACAGGGATGCTGTGATCGGCACTGATGGGGGGGGGGCGGTGTTTGTTCACTTAATAAACATTTTAACACAGGGAAATGGTGGTTCGGTGTGGAATTCTCCCCTTTTGTGGTGGCCCCACACTAAGGAGCTGCACTGCCAACCCAAAGAAACATGGTTCAAACCCACACACTGCCCTATGGGGAGAAAAATGGGCCGTGTCCTCCTGTGTGACTGATAGCCTCTGAGAACCCACCAGAGGGTCAGCGATGAGTCAGTTCCAACTCAAAGGTGCCTAAGAACACAGCAGCACGAGGTTGGTCGGCGGCCCCGGGTGGTGGTGGGCTGCTGGCTGACAGAGCACCCTGCTGGGGCAGCCCCTCCTGTAATGACAGCCTCCGCAACCACTCCGGGTCACCCTGAGTCACAGGCCAGCTGGAGTCAGAAGCTGGGCGATTGCCCTCACACAGCCGCCACCTCCTGGGAGGCCCGACCACGGCAATGAGCCCGGAGAAGTGTCAGCAGCACTGCCAGACTGTACACTGGTGGGTGGAGAGGAAGAAAGGCCTGGCGCTCTAATTCGCAAACCAGAAAACAGAAGCCCGGTAGGTCACTATGGCCCTGACTGGCAGCAGTCAGAGAGCAGCAGCTAGATCACGTCTACAGAAGAGTCAAAATTAAAATCATAAAGCCCCTTCTAGTTTCAGCTGGATCTTGTCGAGTGGTCAAAGCACAGCCTGCGACCATAAGAGAGAAAACCAAGAGGGCCAAAGCTCGAGGACTAACCTAGAACTTCAGACACGTGGGAACCCTGACAGCATGAGCAGCTGGGAACCTCAGCAACATCATTCCGTCGCCCCAACACCAGTCACCTGCTTTGCATGGAGATGCCTGGGGGAAGAAGACAGCTACCTGTAAGCCCATGATCCCAGTACCCCATTGTCCCCTCCACCATTCCCTTCCTTTATGCAAAGGCCTCGTTCCCTCCTCTGGGATGTTTACTTCAGCAAATTGTCTCCACTTCCACCTCCACTCTCGTCTCCTCGCCTTCCTTCCCAGCAAGCTGGACAGTGCTTGTTGTTAGGTGTCATGGAGTCGAGTATGACTCATAGCGACCTGTGATCAGCACATCTGCCCCCTGTCCTGTCCTGTGCCAGCCTCATCATCTCTGACACACTTGACCCCATTGCTGCAGCCAGACAGAGATCATGTGTGGAAAGGTGGAGGGTCGGTAAAAGAGAGGAAGACCCTCAACCAGGTGGATCGACACAGTGACCGCAGCAATGGGCTCAAATGCGTCAGAGACGATGAGGACGGCACGGGACACGACAGGGTTTAGGTCTGCTGTTCACAGTTCACTATGAGCCATACTCGACGGCACCAAACAAGATCAACGTTGCTGCGGCCACTGTGTCGATCTGCCTCTGAGCATCCCCAAGCTGCTTGTTGTTACGTGTCACCGAGTCACCCATGACTCCCAGTGACTCTATGTACAATAGCTCTGACTCTTGTCCTAAGCCAGGCTCACTGATGGACCCACCTAACCCCATGGCCCCACGCCAATCCATCTTGGGAGTGAGGGTCTCCCTCTCCTGCACTGTCCATCTGCCCTTCCGAGCACAATGTCCTTCTCCAAGGATTGAGGCTATAGCACCAAGCAGCCGTTCTCTTAAACGCCCCTGGAATCGTTGGACACACCCTCACACGTCTGTGGCAGCAGCAGCCTCCCTGTCGTCTCCCACCAGGTTCGGTTCTGTGTCTGGACAAGGGAAGCCAAGCTGGGCAGGGTTTTATTCAGTTATGCGTGGTCGTTGTCCCACTCGTGTCAGCAGGACAAAGCAGCACCCCAGTAAACAGGGTGGTGGCAGGGAGCTGTGTGGAAAACCCCTCCCTGCCACACTAGTCCTGAGCAGGACACAGACACTGACTGAACCGTCCATGCTGCGTGTGTGTGCAGCCCCGAACCCACCTTGCCTCTCATCTACAGAAACCTCTGCCCCGTGAAGTCACCAAGGAGGCTGCTGGCCGCTGAAGGCTGCTCTCCCTGAAGGTGTCCTCCTGTGGAAGAGTAAAGGCCTGTCCCACACCGACCATATGGGTCAGACAGTAGTGGGTGTTTGTCTCCGGGTCCAGCTCCTGCTGGACTCTGGAGCCTCACCTCAGAGCCTGTTATTTTCAGACAGTGGTTGATGGGAGACTGTTTCCATGACAACGGACAGCTTCAGTCCCCAGGTGGTCCAGCAGGATGCAGAATGTGGGAGACACTGCTTTTCCCGATTCCCCCAGGAAAGAGTGTGGTTTGGGAGCAAAAGGACCCTGGAAACAGGTGGAGGGGACATCACCCTCAGCAAGGGCATCCCGCCGCCTCCAGGGCCCGAGGTTCATCCCTTCCTCTGGGAGAGTCTCAGCAGCTGTCTAGGAGGGAACACAAGACCCCATAGCCTCAGGAGGGCCTAGAGAAAGCACTGAGTGATGGAGGAATCCCTCCCGCAAACACACTCAGCACTAACCTAAAGGTTGGGGGTTCAAGACCACCTGGAGGTTCCTCAGAAGCCAAGCTTGGGGCTCCAGTTTCGAAGGGTTTCAGCCTCAGAAACCCATGGAGTTCAGGTCTGCTCTGGGGTCACAATGAGCTGGAATCGACTCCAGGACAGCCAAGCAGGAGTGGCGATCCGATCAATGGTGACAAACAGGGTGACCGAAGCAGGGAAGCTCAGAGAACCTCAGGCTACATGCAGATGGGGGGCGGGTGGGGAGGGGCCACACAGGTGGGCCACTGATTCCCAATGTGGCCACGCTTGCAAGATCTGAGCACAAAGAACAGAACCTCTCCTGCTTCCCTGCAATCAGAATTCTAGTCACCCGCTCAGAGAAATCAGCCCGAGGAACTCTGGGAACCAAATCAATCCCTGGAGAAAGAAATCTCATTGAACAAAGACATTTTATTTTTCTCACTCTCAATAAAATGGCAAAATAACCACCAGATCCTCTGTCATCTGATTCGTTAACACCTTCATTAAAAACACGTTGTAGGACCATAGGGGGTTGCTTCCAGGCACACAGGTACATCAGTCCCACACACGACCCAGCCCCTTTGACTAGAGGTTCGTTACACATGTACTGTTTTCATGGACTACGCTAGAAGAACTGCCATCTTTGAATGGTGGTGTTGAGCAAGAATCTCAAACATACCATTGATCGGCAAAAAGGCAAACAAGTCTGTCCTGGGGGACATGCAGCCAGGACGCTCCTTAGAAGCAAAGGTGGCGAGACTTAGTTTCACATGCTCGGAGTGTGTTATCAGAAGGGGCACGTCCGTGGAGGACACCATGCTCGATAGAGCAGAGGCCACCCTTCAATGCGATAAGCTGACACAGTGGCTGCAGCCATGGACTCAGGCACGGCAGGAATTGTAATGATTACAGAGGAGTTGGCAGTGTTTCCTTCTCTCGCACCTGGATCACTATATTGGAGTTGGAGCCAACACGGCAGCACCTAGCAACAACAATTTGGATTAAGGCTGGGACCGGTTCACTCTGTGAAATTCTACACACAGTGCCATAGATTTTATTATTTTTGGTGAGTGTGACAATGGCATGCCTCGTGGTGGTTTCAGTTTTAGTTGTCATGGTGAAGCAAAGCAGACCCTTCTCCCACTAGGAGAGAAATGTCAGCAATGCCACTCGTTGGCAATCTTCGTCATGCAAACTGTGTCTCACCTACTTTCGGTATTTAAAGTCAAAACTTGACAGACCCTTTTGAATAGGATTCTCTGTTAGGTCATTGCTGGGGTGGATCTATGTGAGAGAGAGAGCTGACATGCAAATTCATCCCCCTTGAAGATGAATACTGTGAGTGGTAACTGCAACTAACAGCAAGAAAACAGCCAACTGATTATTTTGTGGTTTTGTCATTTTCCTAATTAGGTAGTTTTTTCATAGCTCCTTGCTGGGTTTTCCTTCTTTGGCCACTAAGTTAACAGTCTAGTCAAAGTTGACAAAATTAATCATGAGTATTGGAATTACTTTATGGGCTTCTAACACATCTCCTTAGGGTTTAGCCACCATTAAATAAAGCTGGGCCTTGAGTGTTCACTGGGCTGACCTTTCCACCCCAACCCAAAGGGACACCAACACCTTCACCACCATCACAATGAAGGTGGTATAGGGTCTCTATCATGGACTGAATTGTGTTCCCTAAAAATACTTGTCTGTAGTGATATAGTGTAGAAACTAAATGATCTTTCAAGATCTGATAAAATTAATAGTGGTGAAAGGCTTAATGATGGAATGGTCCTGATTCAATGTAAGAGGAGTCACCCTAGAGTGTGGCCTGGAATAAGTTCTGTCTCACAAGTGATAAAAGGGAAGGGCAGAGCTGCAATGAGGACCTCAGAACCACCAAGAAGGAATTCCAGGAGTGGAGTGCACCCTTCTGGACTCGAGCCTCTGCTCCATGAAGCTCCTGACACCAAGGCCAAGACACGTGGATCAGGAAGGAACATGTGACCTACAGATGCTCAGGGAAACAAGGACCTTCCTCTACAACTGACACGGAGGACAGCCCCTCCTAGATCCGGCACCCTGAACTGACACAGAGGGCAGACCCTCCCTTAGATCCGGCACCCTGAATGTGGACATCTTGCCTCTTAAACCGCAAGTGAGTAAATGCCCACGTGTTAAAGTCATCCACTTGTGGTATCTCTACTCCTGACAGCACTAGGACTGGTTCCTTCCTAAAAAAGGCTTCCTTTTGAACTAAGGATTAGATATCATATTTAATTGTAATACATTTAGATTCGTATATATGTCTTATTTTAAACTCAATAATTTCTATATGCTGTACATATATAGCAAAGTCTTATCAATGGTTTGATAAGCAATAGATATTCCTGGTAATCTACACCAGAGAAGTTAACCCATGTGCAGAAAAAAACAAAGCATCCCTGCTCAATCCAATGACCCACCAGAAATGGCCTCCAAGGACCACAATTACAGAAAATAGTGGAGGTTGAACGTGATGCAATTACCAATAAATACAATGTTACAGAAGGCTATGAATTAAAAGTGAACATTTCCACTAAAAAAGCCAAAACAAAATTGTACCTGGAATATAATAATAACAACATGGAGTATAATTCCAAATGAGAAGTAAAACGTGCATGGGGTTGGGGGGGGAGGGGAACCAGATGTGGAAAAGAGACCCTGAAATGTTACTAGTGGTTATGTTAATGAAGTGAGAGTATTGATATCCTTTCTACTAAATTTCTATACTATCTATAGACATAGGATAACATAATTTGTGCTCATCATCAGGAAGGACAAGTCCCTGAAGAAGGACATCATGCTTGGGAAAGCAGCAAAGTAGAAAGAGGACTGACCCCAATACAATCGACGGTTCACATCGGATGCAAATATAGCAGTGATTGTAAAGATGGCGCAGGACTGGACAGTGTCTTCATTCAATTACACAGGGGATCACTAAGAGTCAGTACAGACTCAATGCACCAACCGAAAAACACCACCTTATGTGGTATTTTCAGTGGGAAGAAAATATGAAGAGGAGAAAGAAAAGCATCCAGTAAAAACGAAACCAGTAGAGTGTCTCCTGGTTGCACCCGCAGGTAATTTTCACAGTGATAGGAAGGGCCATGCCTCCTTGATGGGTGGTCCCTGCGAGCTTCCGAGGGACATTGGGTTATTGTCTTCCTTAACAGGGGAGACACATCCTGAAAAATTAACAACGTGTTTTGCAAGGAACAGACTCCTCTTTTAGAATGTAGGGTGGATTTGGGAGACTTTTAACAGGAACAGTGGCAACTAGTGAACCTCTGAAAATGGACAGAAAATTGTAGACAATCCAGCAGAAGTTGACAAAAGGATGCGAGGGCTGGAGGCTTCAAAGGGCTGGTACTCCTACGAGAAAGGTCCTCTTGACATACTCGTGGGTCCAAAGTGAGTGGATAAGAGGACAACAGAGAAGGCAGGAACACGCTTCAAAAGCATCAGCAGCACGTAGTATGTTCTGGGCCACAGGAAGGAACGGGCACTCCAGCAGAAACGCATCACAGGAATTGCTCTTTCCTCCCGTCCACCTTCTTGTGGGAAATCCATCACCCAGCTTATTCTCAGGCTCCAACCCACTGGGATCATGAAAAACCATCCACCGTATCTCCGTGGATCTGGAAAATTCTCACTTAGTAGTCAACAATCAAGTTGTTCATCAGCAGTTCTTGAATCTTTACAGTTTCAATGGCTCTGATGGTAAACCTGTGAAAGTAGACAACACAGGAATAGATTCCCCCAGACCATAGACAAGAACTACTTAAAACACACGGGCAATGGGCTCAAACATGCTACCAGGAATGAGAAGTTTTCTTTTGGCATTGAACTAGTGGAGAGATCTTCATTTCTCTCAAAAATCTGTGCTTTTACCAGTGTGAATGGAGCATCTACTGTTAAAAGGCAAAGGCTTAACACATTAAACGTATGCTAAGACTCAGAACCTTTCTGGGGACCTTGGTGGGGTTATTAATGGTAGTTGTTTGCCGTTGAGTCAGAACCAATCTGAAGTTGACCCTCCAGCTGGTTTTCAGAGGCAGTAAATCACATGGGAAGAGACTGCCCATCCTTCTCCCATGGAGCAGCTGGTGAGTTCGAACCTTGTGCCTTTGGAATTGTAGCGCAGCTTCTTACCCTGTGGCTAACTGAAAAGCTGGAAGCGACCCCCCAGGGGAAAGGTGAGGCAATCTGTTAACCCAAATATTTACACCCGTGAAAGCCCTCTGGGCAGTTCTACTCTGTCTGCCATCTGCCTGACAGGTCACAATCAGATTCAACACGAGGCAACGAGTTTGACTCTTACGTTCTTTATTTGTCAATGATTTCTGCATAAATAAAACAATGAGTTGATAATAAATTTTAAAAAAAATGCAATGATGTCTCAAAATGCAGTCTCAGCAGGACTCAAAGGAGCAGCTCCAAATTCCTTCACCGAAGTGCACTCGGTGAGTTACTATCTAGGCGTAAAAAGGGAGCTCTGGTGGGGTGGTCGGGAGGACAGCAGTGCTAACCCAAAGGCATTGCCCCTGGTGGGCTGACCCTCTCCCCGGCTCTGAGGGAGGAAGAAAGAGGGGATCCTCCCAAAGGAATCACAGCCTCGGGAAACCCCTGGGGCCACCTGCGAGTCAGCTCGGGCTCAACAGAGTTTGGGAGCAGAAAAGGGGCTCTGGTGGTGCGGTGGGTTAAGCATTTGACTCATAACCAGAACGCCAAAGGTTTGAGTCCTCCAGTTGCCTCACAGGAGAAAGCTAAGGCTGAGATGGCTTCCAGAATGATTCACGGTCCTGGAGACCTGATGGCCAGTTCTCCCTGTTCTGAAGGGCCACCAGGAGTCAGACTCTGCTCCAGGCACTGGGTCCAGTTTTGGGGTTTGTGGCATGAACTTGTGCTTGACTGTGTGGTGGTGGTTCAGACACACAGTAGTCCACAGAGGAAAAGCCTGGAGGCAGGGTCCTTGAAGATGCCATCATGGGAAGAAGGCAGGAAGACAGGCCCATGGAAAGGATGGAAGGAGAGAGGGAAAGAGGGAGGGATGGAGGGAGGGACAGTGAGAGGGAGGGACAAGAGAGGGAGGGGCAGGGAGGGGAAGTGAATGCAGGAGAACAAATGGTGGGAAGTGGGAGGGTGAGGAGGAAGGAGAGAGGGAGAGAGTCTGAGCTCTGCTTTCATCCCTGCCTTTGACTTTCTCACTGAGTGCCAAGCAACTATTAGAACCACCATCGCATCTGATGGCTGGACCTCACCCTAACGCCACGCTTACCATTTACCTTCAGCAGCTGGACAGGTAATGAGTAAATAAATTCGGAAATCACAGGGTAAAGCCTTGGGCTACCTTTTGCCAGTTAATTTCTATTTTTCTTCTGCAGACAAGCTGTAGCTAAGAAGCAAAACCCTAAATGTGTCACTGAGAAAGATTTTGAGTGAAGACACATTATTTGTCATTATTTGTATATCCCATAGCAACAAACACAGAAAGTGTATCGTGAGCATGAGGTAAAGTTTTCAGCACAGCCCTGGACCACATTCTGTCATTCAGAGTGAAGTGGGAACAGATAGAGGCCGTCTTAGAACAGTGCCTTCAACTGCATTAATGTCAATGAGCTGAGGCTTAAAAAGACCTACAAGGAGGTGTGCGCCGACCTCTGTAGGTCTGGCACCTGAGGATGGGTGCACCTAAGCTCGGAGTCAGACCTACTTAGACTCAGAGTGGGGCCTAGTGCTGCTTAGTTAGGCGCAACGTAGGGCCTAATTAGACTCCAGTGAGGCCTAG